TGTAACATATACACCCAACTGAAATGAGCAAAACTAGGGAGTCAAAGCGACATCATTTTTTTGGCAGGGTGCTCAATTAAGCTTGTGACAAAGAGGCGACACAGCACCGGCCCGACAGGGCCCAACTGCGGGTTGCGAGTGTCATTCTCTCGGGCATTGGAGTTAAAACAAGGTTATCTAAGCACCCCAGACTTTTTTTTCTACACATAACTGCACTCTGAAGGGCTGGAGGGAAGTGAAACAAATCTCGAAAGGGGGAAACGTTGCAGGGTTTCGTTCTGCAGAATGCACAGCGACGAGCATAAGAGCTTTCCCGTAACAAGGGGGATTGGGTCGAGCTGATTTATATTTGCTGGTTTTAAAACACAGGTATTTCGGGGGACTTAGGGAGTGGGGCTACACAAGGTCTTTTACACCCGGACTAATGGAAAGCTTTACACACCCCCCATGGGAAAATGGGATTCAACGGCTTAAAAAATCAAATGATGCCTTTCTGTGCCCCCAAAACGGACACTAAAAACCCCCCAAAAAACAGTGAGAACACTGACTGAGAGGAAATTTAAATTTCACGTCATATATCTTCTCTCAATCTTCTCGAACCCCAAAGCTGAAATAATGACTAAACACCGGGTGTGGGCATGTGGGTGTCAGGCCCTGACGTCGCGAGGTGAAATCAGGGAGACTGTGACGTCACAGACCATTTTCGAGGTGATGTCAGGGAGACCTCGTGACAAACAGGGAAATTGGGGCACATGGGCCCGTTTACGCAAATTTATGCGGGCAGCAGACCAAACATGTGGCCTGGGACATCTGGCTTTGGGAAAACCCCCAAAGGGTTGGGAGACCCCGAGACATCACCCCACCCCACGTGGTGTCAGGGGCCACGTGGTGTCGTGATCTACGTGGGATCGGTTTTGCATGGCTTTTAAATGAACTACGGGGCATGCTGATCCACATGGCTTTGTTGATCCCTTTCGGGTTGCTGAACCATGTTGCTTTCCTTTAACTACGTTGGGATGCTGATCCCCTGTAGGGTTCGAGTGGGGCCTTTGGGGACCCCGGATACACAGCTTTTGGCAATGAATTCCAGGAAAACAGAGAAAACGCAGCAGAGGGGGTGAGAAATTTGGGAAGTGTATGGTAGTGGTTTGGTTGGGAAGGAGCGTGGGTGAGTGTTTTGGCGGGGGGGCATCTAGGCCCCTTCCTCCTCCTCCCCCCCACAAAAAACCCGGAAACACACTGGACCCAGAAATCACCAAAAAAAATCACCTGGGTTGCTGAAACCCGTGTTTTTGAGGGTGATCAAAAAACAGCAACAACAAATGAAAGCTGAACATGTGATTGGGGGAAAAACGTGGGACACTGTAAACGTTTGGGGTCACTGGGGCGCTTACAATTTCCCCAAAAATTTTGGGAAATTTCGGCTGGATTTCCCGCTTTGTACCTTTTGTCTGGAGCTTTTAAACGTGCAGATTTCGCATCAGGATAACCCATTGAAAAGACGGGTGCTTTTGCCCTGGGGTGATGAAGTGAAGATGACTTCATCCCTTCCTCTCTCCGGGCAAACAACTGCTTCGCGACCACCCTTCCCACCATTTATAAGGGGTTTATTTGCATACAATAAAGTGGGTGCGTGAATGATACATCTTCGGAGGATTCTTACTTTATTTGCAAAGTCGTGGTGGGTACACAGGCTTGTGTGTTGTGTCCATGGCTTGGGTATGCAATGCCCATGAGAGGGAACTAGTTAGTGGCCTGTGTCTTCCTGCCTGGCCGCTGTGAGAGTGCGTGAGTGTGGGACCAGCTTCCCACAGACATGGACAGGCCCAGAGGGCAGCACCTGAGTGGCATGAAATATGAACTAAGCTGACAGACAGCAAGGCTCTCTGTGCAAACAGTACAGGCTGTCTACATAATCCTAGCCAGACTTTGGCTTAGCAAAATTAATATTATACAAATTACACTAATATAAATCTTTGCCAGGGATTTGGCTTAGCAAAATTAATATTATATACATTACACTAATATAAATCTTTGCTAGGCTTTGGCTTAGCAAAATTAATATTATACAAATACACTAAATATAAATCTTTGCCAGAATTTGGCTTACCAAAATTAATTATATACAAATAAACTAATATAAATCCTAGCCAGGCTTTGGCTTAGCAAATTTAGTACTGTAATAATTATAATCCACTACACATTAAGTAAATTTGTGGAACCTAACATCCACCTCCTTTGTCATTTCACATATAATTATTAAGTAATTAATTCACTAATTAATGACTTCACTAATTATCATCCAGTTCGGTCAAGGAACAACGGGCAACTAATTATGGAAAATTACATTTATCTGATGTATCTCATTAGATACATACCAGTAAATGGTAACAAAGATAATTATTATTTATCAAAGTTACAGAGACAAGTAGGAATTTAGGACACCTAGGTCACAAAAAATTTCCCCCTTCGATACCTACCATAATCTATTTCTCCACAAGTTGCTCTAGACCTATATTAATTGCAAATGAAATGTACATCACAGGAAATTCTGGTAAAATTTAATATAAATTTGTGGACTGTATGTTAAAAATTAATAAATGATTACATATACACATTTATATAACACAAGGAGAATTTATAATCATAACACTCACCAATTTGTCTGGAGATTACTGTGTATCATACTCAAAAACCACCCTGTCTACATTTTATGAAGAATTTCTGGCCAGAATTACTAAACATAAACAGACACTTAGCTGGGGTTCCTGGAGCTGTCCTGTACATCTGCTTAATGCTCAAATTATGCAGGACTGCACATCCAACAATTTTGGCTCCTATTTGAGGGTTTTAAGCCCAATATAACCCCTAGAGCGACGAAAATAAGCACATTACATTAGCGTGCCTGTACCACATTCAAAAAACAAATGGCGTCTCTTCCCCTGCTCGTCAGTGCAGGCGTGAGCTTCCCTCTCGGTCTCTTTTCATTTACAAATTAATTTTTTTTAAAAATACAATGTATTACACTAATTTTCATAAAAAATGCAGTGGATTTTTCGGAAAATACTTTATTTTCCACAATACCAATGGAATATAAGTCACTGACTTTTTTGGGTTATCCTAGGTGATCTACAAATATGCTGCTATGTATGACAAATTATGTATCTATTTATGTGTACCTTCCCTGAATAAAACTTAAAGGGATACCTTTACTGGATAGCACAGAGACTGAAATATATCTGGTTTATATTTTTGGGGGGGGAAGGGTTGAAGCATCAGACAAGATACACACAATATGGTTGAAAAAAATCCAGGTTTTTCTCTTCTCCCTTTTCCTAAAGGTACCCCCGTAATTCAGTTGCTAGCGCACTTAGTTCACACGTGTGGTCCCGAGGCCCATCCCGGTCCGCTGGAAAACATTAGGACGTGTTTTTTTTCAGACACCTGCTGTCCACTGTTCACCCATCAGTAAAATGGGGGACCTGAGTATTAGTCGACTGGTGTGAGTCGCATACTGGACAAAATTGACCTAATTTGCCCCAAAATGCAGCTTTCTTTATAGTAGTATGTCACTGACGTCAGTTAGGCTTGTTTACCTTGTACATGTACTTGGAAAAATAAAGATTATTTCTACTATTATTATTATTATTATTATTTCCTTCAACTCTCCCCCCTCCCCCTTCCTCTAAAATTCCTCTTTCCCCTTTCACCTCCACGCATTTCTTTTTTCTGTTTCCTCTATCTCCTCTCTATTTAATTTTAAGTGCATCTAGCCACATTTACTGTATCTTTTCCTTGTTATTTGCAACTTGTTCCCCCCTACACCACTCACCCTGTACTCCACCATGTTAAACTTGTTCCTTCCTGCACTACTCACCCTGTTCTCCACCATGTTAAACTTGCCCCAACATCAGCTGCACGTAGACAAAGAGAGTAACGTTGCCAGGATTAGGAAGGTTACGTCTCCCAGGATGGTGTCTCCGCTGATCTCTCCAAAGCTGCAAAGAGCAAAGGAGATCTTGAAGAGTGAAAGAATTGTGAAGGGAAAATGAAAGTTATGAGGGAAAAGGAGACGTTTGAAGAGTGAGAGGACTGTGAAGAGGAAGTGAAAGCTGTGAAGGAGAAGAGCATTGGAATGGGTGGAAGAAGATTGGTAAAGAGTCATGCGTTAGAAACAGAGCACGCAAGATAAATACAAGTCTAATTAAGGGTAGAGTAACCGTGACAAATACAGCTTGACCTCTCCCTGTACCCCAAATTTTTAAAATGTCTTTAATCGGTTTGTTAGGGGTTTTGTAAGTGTTTTGGGGAGGGTCATTTTTCGAGCCCCGCGTATCTGATCTCTGGAGAAAACTGGCGAGGGACGCCGCAGAATCACGACTCAGGATCCAGATGTTAGAGGCTATACGTCTGTGGATATAATAAAATTGTTTAATTTATGAATTTTAATGGC